GGTGTCAGCATTTTACCTTTATAGGAAAAGATGTATAAAATTTGAGTGTCAGCATTTTATTTTCGAAGGAAAAAGATGTATGAAAATTTAGGTAAGTGTCAGAATTTTTATCGTCTTAGGGAAAAGTTGTATGACGATTTTGGTAAATGTCAAGATGTCACATTGACTGTGGAAAGATCCAGGATAGTAGGGTAAATGTCAAGATGTCACATTGATTGTGGAAAGATCCAGGATAGTAGGGTAAATGTCAAGATGTCACATTGACTGTGGAAAGATCCAGGATAGTAGGGTAAATGTCAAGATGTCACATTGATTGTGGAAAGATCCAGGATAGTAGGGTAAATGTCAAGATGTCACATTGATTGTGGAAAGATCCAGGATAGTAGGGTAAATGTCAAGATGTCACATTGACTGTGGAAAGATCCAAGATAGTAGGGTAAATGTCAAGATGTCACATTGACTACGATAGTAGGGGAGATGTCAAGATGTCATGTTGCTAAGAGGAAATGGATAACTCTCGTCCCCAGGCGACGTAACTCTGGTTGGCTCGGCTTTAGTACGGATGATCTGATTGGATGACTCACTAACAATGGGCGCCCGTCTCCCACGAGGGCCAGCGCCCCCTGGTGCGTTAATCAGATGACGTCACGGTGATTGGTGGTGGGCGGGAAGCGAGGGGGGGATTTCTTACAGGCGAAATCAGTCTGGAAACATGGGGTCGTTTGACATGTGGGATCGTATGACATTTGGGATAATATGACATTTTGGACCATATGGCATTATTGAGCATATGACATTATTGATCATATGACATTTGGGATAGTATGACTTAGAGCAGGGGTCTCCAAACTTCTCAGCCCGAGGGCCGCATTAACTATCAAATATCAGTTCGAGGGCCAGAGGTTCTTCCAGGCATCTCTCCTCCCCCCCCCCCCCCCTAAGAACATCTGTCACCACCCCCCGCCTCCTCCCCAACGAAATATAATTTTAATAGAAATATATATCAATATATATCTTTAAAAATGTCAAGTGCCCCCCCCCCCCTCCGAGAAGAAAATCTGAAAGAAACACTCTCTAGGTCCTAGTTTGTTTTCAAATTGTTCTTCGAGTATTTCATTCTTGAAATAGTTTGTTTACACAGGTATGTTGTTCCAAAATTTCAAAGGTACTTAGATGCAAAATGTTTTATATTAGGAAAGTCTTCCTTGGTCAAATACTTATAAAATCCCATCCGCCCTTCTTTGAACTTGTCTCTAAGGAGGGCATTTGCTTGCAATTCAATGACCTTCAGCTGCAGTTCATCTGCGCAACTGCCCACATTAGCTTTAAATGGGTTTTGAGACAATCTCACTTCTTCTGTCTTTGAATCCAAGCCAAAAAACAGCTACTGAAACTGCAGCTGGAGGTCTTTGATGAAATTGCACGCAAATGACCGGGGACTCAACTGTTGCTTCAGCCATAAAGACATTGCACTGCTGAAAGTGCGTCAAGTTGTTTGCCTGTGCTTGTTCCACAAAAACATGACATGTTATGTAGGGAAACCATATATTGTGATATGTTCATGACTTCATCCACACCTCAAATGAACACAAGCAGTTGAGAGGTGGAACAGCTGTCCAGCGACTCATCCATCGCAATTGAAAAATGGCGAAACTTGCTTGCATTTTTCGCAATGTGAGTCACAATGTTTTAACCAATGTGTGCAATACGGTGGGCAATGGTAAGTGCACCAAAAGCTACATTTTCAAGTTGTTTTGAATATCTGGGCAAGGTTCCTCAGTCACTTCCAACAAACTTTTTTTTTCCGTGGACAAAACAATCTCGGCGGGCCGGATGAGAAGACCCTCGCGGGCCGCATACGGCCCGCGGACCGTAGTTTGGAGACCCCTGATTTAGAGGTACAACATAATGGATAACAGAACAGTTATTGAGAGAAACATTGTTGTATCAAAAGCAAGATGTGTTAATGCGTGTTTGTTTGTGCGCATCAGGGTGTAAGGTGGTGGTGGTGGTGGTGGGGGGGGGGGGGGGTTGGGAGTTTGTGGTGTGCAAGTGAACCGTGTTATCAACAGCTTTATTTAGCTGATGCCCTGTATCTAAGTTATAAAAGAATCTCGTATAAAATACCTCAACACTCGTGGCGCCCTTTGTCTAGAGTAAAGGGTAGCCCTGTAGGTGATAAAAACAAAAAAAAAATTCTAAAGTCCCTCCAGGTTGGTCTGACTTCGATACATTCTAAAATGACAATTAAATAAATTTTTCACAATGGAAATAAGCTGGTTCCAACCGTAGGTTACTATGTTGGGCATCTTCTTGCGTATTTTCAGCAGGAAGGGCCTAAATGATGGCAAACGGCAGCCCTAAATTTCTTTTTTAAAATTTTGGGTCAATTATTTTTAAATATTGTTTTCATCTTAAAATAAAAAGAATACTTCAACGAACCATAAGGAAACATACCTTCAATGATGAAGATTACTTATTACAATTTTTTTAACAATATAAAAGTACTATGTTTTAAAAAATAAATAGGGTACCTTTTAAAAACATAGTTCATAAAAATAATTAAATCAAACCAAAATCTAAAAAGTACATAATATTCAAAGTCTACGTAATATCAGAAACAATACTTTAAAAAATGGTCTTTAAAAAACTTTTATACTGATTGTGAATTAATCAACAAACTGAAATGTTAGGCCAATAGGGAGTTATGATCCTTATAGATCTATATGCTCAAACAGATCATTACTTCCCTTGTCGCTATTCAGCGTAGAAACCACACGTTTTCATTGGATGTCCGTGGTGAGAAAATGTTAACTTTTTCCGATTGTCTAAAATGTGGAGTAAGGAGTAAATAATTCATCGTGGCTGAAATGGGATAATTTAACAGAAAAAATACTGGTGTAAAATTCACAGAATTATTTTAAATTAAATACTAGATCACACGTAATTTAATTTTTTTTTCAAACCACAATTTTTTTAAAATCAGCCCACGAAAATGAAAATAACACGCCTGAAATGTAAACGTTTACAAGTTCACATGATTAAAAAAAAAATTCATAAAAAACGTTTTAATAACAAGCTTTTATGTAATGATGCACTAAAAAGTAGAAAATAAATTATAGACTACTATTTAAATAACTATAAAGAAAAGCGTGGGTGTCTTCCTTAACATTAGTAAAGGTATCCAATAGATACTAAAGTGACCCACGCTTTTCTTTATAGTTATTTAAATAGTAGTCTATAATTTATTTTCTACTTTTTAGTGCATCATTACATAAAAGCTTGTTATTAAAACGTTTTTTATGAATTTTTTTTTCAGTTTTTTACATGTTTTATTTACAATAGAGTTACATGACTAAAAACCATTGCGCGCCTACTGAACATCACGTTCAGTAGGCGCGCAATGGTTTTTGAACGCAGCCATTACGTGGTCGTGATGGCGCAGTTATTGATGACGCGTGTGGTGTGGTTGGCTAGACATGCCTACTAATTCGGTCCAAATTTTAATTAATTCATAAAAAATCAATTAGGCATCCAATTAAGTCAAATTTAGTTTCAGATTGCATTGTCTTCATGTCTTGACCCATGTGCCAACTGTGAATCGTGTCGGTCAAGTAGAACTGTCCGAATTTTGACTCCTGCGTTTCCGTCAAGACAGACTGGCGGACGACAGAGGAAGTGAGTTAAATAAAAGCTTGTAAAAACACAAACAAATTTCAATGGGTAGATACAAATATCAATAGTTAATGAATTAATCTTTTACAAGTTCAACTGCACCTGATAGAAACTAAAGAATTTAATTAGAAACACGCTCTGAAGCTACACGTCAAATATTTAGTAGTTGACATCAGTAGCCAAACAAAACAAAAATAAATAATTAGTAGGCTTACTGCACTAATTGAGTTGCCACTTTAAAAACATTTTATTTACAGAAGAGCGATATCACATTTTATAATAGCGTTTGATTTTATCACATTGACGTTAGAGACTTCATATTATTACACATATAAATTGCGGTAAGAAGACGTCACACATAGCACATAAAACTGGTGATTGATAAACGTCACAAGTAGTACATACACAGCAATTTTTAGAAGTCAGACATAACAAACACAAAGGTGTTTCACTGACGTCAATTATAGCACATAAAATGTTGATTGGTTGACGTCACACATAGCACATACAAACGTTGATTAATAGACGTCACATATAGCAGATACAAAGTCGTTTAATGGACGTCACATATAGCAAATACAAAGGTTGATTAATAGACGTCACTTTTAGCAAATACAAAGGTTGAATAAAAGATGTCACATATAGCAAATACAAAGGTTGATTAATAGACGTCACATATAGCACATACAAAGGTTGAATAAAAGATGTCACATACAGCACATTAAAATGTTTTAAGAGAACATACCCTCAGATTCAACATACAAGTGTAGACACAAACCCATAAATCGCATACATATTTTAACGATGAAAAACAAACCATATCACCCACATATTTTAATGATGAACAACAAACCGCTTGAGGCAACCGATTACTCAAAACAACGTTTAGATTCTTGTAAAAAAATTTGAAATTGAACATCAACAATTTAATAGTTTGTTGTAAGTTTTATAATGTTGTCATGTAGGTTAGAAATGTAATTGTTATTTTTAAAATTTGGTCTAGACATGTTTTTTTTTTAAAAACTGTCATACTATATATACTTGACAGGTAAGTTGATAGTTTCATATTGAATAACAAACTAATTATCGACGTTTCTCTTTTGTTGTTGCAAAATTTTAAGCAACCCAATAAACAAATATGTTATTTTGATTCAATATATTATTATACTGTAATAAGTAATGAGTGTTCCATTTTATATAATTTATATATATTTTATTTTCACGTATAGAAAAATTATCATCAAAGTTACCCACTAAAACAGAGTTACTCTTTTACTCTTTATTTGGCCAAGTGTCGCAATAAAGTATAACTTTCTGAAGTGACCCAATTAAGTATAGCTTGTTGAAGTGACCCACTTAAGTATAACTTTTTAAAGTGACCCACTTAAGTATAACTTGTTGAAGTGTCCCAATTAAGTATAATTTGTCCAAATAACTCATATTTTAACCTAGTGACCCTTGTAACAAAACTTGACCACGTGACACCGACCATGATCATGTGACCTCCCCAGCTGGATGTCTATATAGGCGGCAGCTGGATGTCTATATAGGCGGCAGCTGGATGTCTATATAGCTGGATGTCTATATAGGCGGCAGCTGGATGTCTATATAGGCGGCAGCTGGATGTCTATATAGGCGGCAGCTGGATGTCTATATAGGCGGCAGCTGGATGTCTATATAGGCGGCAGCTGGATGTCTATATAGGCGGCAGCTGGATGTCTATATAGGCGGCAGCTGGATGTGACTGCGCGACTTGATCTTGTCCGACTTGTTCAGCTTGAGGCTCTGCAGCCAGCGACTGCACTTGTCCACGCTGTCGTCTCCGGGTGGCTGGGGGTAGTGGTTGGGCTGGTGCTGGTGGTTCATCTGGTGCTGGTGGTGTTGGCGGTGGTGGGGGTGCGGGTGGCGGTGCGCGAGCCGGCCGCTGACGTGCATGGACGAGCCGTCGTCCGTGTCACTGACGTCATCGCCGGCGTGGTCAGGCGTGTCGTCAAAGTGCGGGAACCGGAGACTCTCGCGGCCGCAGAGTTCCTCCAGCCGCAGCAGGTTCTCCTCCTTCAGCGGAAGCGCGGCCGCGCCGCATTCGAAGGTCATCCCCTGGCTGTCGTCGGAGCTAGTTCGGGTCTCGAAGCGCCGAGACAGTTTGGGCGTCGAGGATGGCGACGCCCCGTTGGAGCGGGAGTTGTAGGAGGAGGTCATGGGGTCGCGGCGCTTGCTCCCCGGCGTGGACGGGGGCGTCGGGGTGCCGGCCGCCGAGCGAAGGCTCCCGGACTCCAGCCTGGGTAGGTCGACGTACAGGCTGTTCCTGACGGTGGGGGCCGTGTGGATGATGTTGCCGTCGTGGTCCGTCATGGGCGCCATGTCGCTCCCCGGGGAGTCCTGGGACGCGTTCATGACGGACGCCAGTTGGGGGCATGAGCGGAATCTGAAAAAATAAAATAAAATAAAATAAAAATAAATTAATCCGCTTCAAAATAATGAAATGTTGCAAGATTCGTTATAAATATACCGATTGGTGTGGTCGAGTTGGTAAAGCACATGGTTGCTAAACAGGAAGGTATCTACTTCGAACTCCAGGGCAGATGAGGCTCGATAGCTAGGGACAGCAACTTATATAGGAGAGACAACTCCAAAATCAAACAACTGCTGTCTTATAGTTTGTTCTTGGTTAGACAAAGGCTATGTAAGCATATTCATAAATAAAAGCAGGCTGAAATCGAAATCAAAAACCCTATGGCGCTTAACGTGTTAGATGGAATTCCTTCCAACCTTAAAAATTAAGAACGAAGAAGTTATAAATATAAATCTATATTATTTATATAATGTTACTCACACATATTTTTATACCACGTGTTGTTCTAACAACATAAATATTTTAAAAATGTAACTTATTTTTAGACAACAATTTACAAAACATAACATCACATTAGAAAGGTAATGGACGTGTAAAAAAAAACTGGTTGAATTTAAATTGTATTAAATGTCGAGATTGTGTTGCCCGGTAAATTGATCTGGCCAGGGTGAAGAAATCACGTTAAATATACATTCACCGTCAGGGGGGGGGGGGGGGGGGGGGGGAATGTGAGAAGATACAATAATTGTGTTTTAAATGAAATGTGGCAATAGCCCGCTAGATACACGAGTTCTGATGTCAAGGGTTGGATGTCAGTATTTCAAAAGATGTGTTTGTTGATCTACGTCGGATTGTGTTTTAGATTGCTTGGTGTTGCACAACTCTACACTTGGGGGTTATTGCTATGTTAGATGACTGTACATTTAGGGTTATAGCTAAGTTACATTACAATTGGGGCTATGGCTATGTTAGATAACTCTACATTTGAGGTTATAGCTAAGTTAGATAACTCTACACTTGGGGCTATAGATAACTCTTTGGTGTTAGGGCAAAAGTGAGCTAACTCGTTTGTGTGTGCAGCTATTATTTCTATTACAAGGTCCAAAAGATAAAAGCCTATGTTTATTTTTTGTCTGTGTGTCGTGGGGTGGGCGTAGAAGGTATGCGTGGGCGTCAATCGACTAATTCCAGATGCCCCAGTTTTTAATCCCACAACTCTTCCGCTTACTCGTATGAATAGCCACACATTTTACTATTTTATGGACTACTTTGTTCTGCCTAACGACCACGCCTCTACAATCCTTTGCCCTTAAGCCAACCATCCAATATGAAATAAACTCAAAATAACCGATGTTTTCAATAGCATTAGACGAACAAAATATCTCATAAAATCGAGCCCCAAACAACAATGCAGGTTGTTCATTATCTTCCATTTTGAAACATTCTAAGACCAAACGAGACTGCAAACTGGCATTTGGTTTTTCTCGTTGGCCTGTTTCTGTTTCATGGACTCTACCAGGGGGGGGGGGGGGGGGTGGGAAGGGGATATCGATGTAAAGACCCCCTGATTTCCCCGGGGGCCAAGGCTTCTGGCATTTTTTGTTGGCCATTTTTGTTTTTTAATGTTAGTCTTGTTGACATTATCTCAAAGACAAAAGGCCATCCTCAGACTTCAGGGGGGCTGTTAACATTAGTTTTAAGACAAAGTTAACGGCCCATCACACACTTTAATGTGTTAACATTAGTTTCAAGACAAAGTTAACGGCTCATCACACAGACTTCAATGGGCTGTTAACATTAGTTTCAATACAAAGTTAACGGCTCATCACACAGACTTCAGTGGGCTGTTAACATTAGTTTCAATACAAAGTTAACGGCCCATCACACACTTGAATACATTAGTTTCAAGACAAAGTTAACGGCTCATCAAACACTTGAATGTGTTAACATTAGTTTCAAGAAAGTTAACGGCCATCCACACACTTCAGTGGGCTGTTAACATTAGTTTCAGGACAAAGTTAACTGCTCATCCTATCTAGAATGTGCTGTTGACATTATTTCTATCAATGGATAACCCGCCCACCCTAACCCGCCCTCCCTTAACTTAATTAAAAAAAAAGATCCTTATCTTTTCAACTAATCCAGTCCATGTTTTATATTCTTCTCAACGCCTCCAATCCATGTTTCATATTCCCCCATAACTAATCCAGTCCATTTTGTATATTGGCTTCCACTAATCCAGCCCATGTTTTATATTCTCCTCAACTATTCCAGCCCATGTTTAGCCTGCCAAGAGATATTCCGCCATCAAAACATGAATTTTACCCTGCCGTCTTTATTTCCCTTCAGAAAACCCGAACATGCTGAGCAAACTTTAAATCTCCTCGCACTTAGTTTTGTCGCGAATTAACAACAACGTGCCGGCCTCTTCTCTTTCATGCATTAAAACATCTTCGAAGCCTTACGACCCTACCCCCCCCCCCCCCTGCACGGCATGAATTCTGCTGAATGCGTGCCGTGTTGCTCATCAGTTCAATTGATAAATATGTGTTGACGTAAAGGGTTAAGTAATGTAGGTGGCCGTAAAGGTTTGATGAACTGTGGCTTCAGGAGTTACATTAACGGAGTCTGTAAAAGTTGCAAGAAATGTATGGCCGTAACAGATAAACAAACTGAAACCATAAGGTTTGAATTAACCGAGGTCCCAAAGGTTAAATTAACAGAGGTCCCAAAGGTTAAATTAACAGAGGTCCCAAAGGTTAAATTAACAGAGGTCCCAAAGGTTAAATTAACAGAGGTCCCAAAGGTTAAATTAACAGAGGCCACAATGGTTAAATAAACAGAGGCCCCAAGGGTTAAATTAATAGAGGCCCAAGGGTTAAATTAACAGAGGCCATAGGGTTAAATTAACAGAGGCCCAAGGGTTAAATTAACAGAGGCCACAATGGTTAAATTAACAGAGGCTCCAAGGGTTAAATTAACAGAGGCTCCATGGGTTAAATTAACAGAGGCCACAATGGTTAAATTAACAGAGGCCCATGGGTTAAATTAACAGGGGCTCCAAGGGTTAAATTAACAGAGGCCCCAATGGTTAAATTAATAGAGGCCCATGGGTTAAATTAACAGAGGCCCCAACGTTTTAATTAACCAAGGCCGCTGGGATTAAATAAAATGTATAGTCATAAGCGTTAAATTAACTGAGGCAGAAACGTTAGCTAAAACTGAGGCCGTGCCGTAAGGGTTAAATAAACTGGGTGACTTGAGGCGTTAAATTAATTGTGGGGCCATAAGGGTTAAATTATTTGTGGGTTTCCTTAAAATTGGATTAATTTTGTGACTCTAAGGGTTAAAAGCTGATGCAAGAAGGTTTAAATTAACTGTGTTGCCTTAATAATGAGTTAAAAAATATGAATGGGGTAAAGGCTAAAATGTAAAATAACGTTTGGCCCTAGGGGTTAAATATACAGTGTGGACGAAAGGGGAGTTAAATAAATTGTGTGGACGAAAAAAAAAAAGTGAAAAAAGGGGAGGCGAATCCCATCAATAGCCTTGATGATAGGGTAACCAGAGAACGCAATGTTGCACTTGATTACGTCAGCAGAAGACCGCGTACAGCTGATCACGTGATAACCCCCGACCCCCCTCTCACCCCTGCCTGTGTTGTACTGGATGGACGTGATCGGCCACAGTTCACGTCATCCAATCGTTGAGTTCGTCTCCATCCTCTTCGATCCACTCCATTCAAATACTTTTTCACATTGTGTACCTTTTATAATCGGTATTATAAATATATTCTTATTCCTGCCATTAAAGTTGTTTGTTAACAAAAAGTACCATCAGTTGGGAAGAACATTTGAATACAATATATTAAGTAGCCATAACTCAGGTTATCCCATGCTTATGCCCCTTATGGAACTCTATTTTTTTTATAATTACCAAGATGATAAATTGTGTGCGAAATTTGTTTCATCAACACATACGCGAACAACAGACACACACCCGTACAAACTTAATTACATACCTACGCATAAACACATACACATACGTATTCCCCCAAATATATATATATATATATATATATATATATATATATATATATATATATATATATATATATATATATATATATATATATATACATAAGCTTGGGTGTATGCAACGAATCTCGCTAGAGCGAATAGGTTTTAAGCACTTTGCCAACGGTACAGTCACTAAAGAGTTATTTTGTTGTTGAAAATTTGAGAACGTTGTAACGTCATTGATTTTTCTCTTCTAACTTTTACGTTGACTCGCCTCACTTGTTTTATTTATTATCATCGTGTCTCGTTTTTTTGTTTTAATTTCCTTCGACTCTCTAAAGAAAGTGAGTTCTTTCATCCAGCTGGTGCCGGAGTCGGTTCTGGAACCTTCTGGCAACGGCAGGGTAGGGGAGAACTTTGGCACGTCACTTGTAAACAAAACGTGTACATGTGGGTGGTTTGGTCTGGTCGGGGTGAGTAGAGCTACACGGGCCGTAGTGAGTTAGCTGAGTGGAGCTTTGATAGAATACATAGACACGCACATAATGCACATCACACCCACACATCGAGTACACACAACACTCACACACAAACACACACACACAGGCATACACAGACATCAAGCACTCCCAGCACTATCACACAAACACACACGCGCACACAAAACACAACGCTGATTGGTACATACACACATACACTCATCAATCACACACAATACTCACACACCGATTCACACACGCACACATAAACAAACAGAAACACACTTTGCTGATTGGTGCATCGCTACCACACACATAAAGCACACACATAAAGCACACACATAAAGCACACACATTACGTATACACTAACACACCCACGCATCTAGAAACACAGATACACTACTGTCGATTGGTACGTCGCTTACATGCACACACACATCGAACACATACAATACTCACGCACAACACACGCACACAAAAGCATCACCAACTAATTCTCTGTGAGGCGCGAAAATATGCCATATTAAAACACACTGTTATATAAATATAAGAGTATATAATTGAAATATACAG